AGAACGTGTGTTTTGAGAGAATGCAAAAATAATTCTGATTGTCGTGTGTTAAATTCGATTTGAAGAGAACGAAGAACACTGGCAAGTACAGCGACAAGTTTTCTAATTAAAAAGCAGCGATCGCGTATTTTCCGGGGCGTCGGGAACGGCGCGGCTCGTAAAACAATCCGAGTGCAAAAATTCTCGCGTGTAGCGAGCAGACGAATTTATGGTTCAACGTGAGCACGAAATTTTCAACGGGCAAGAACCCTCCCACGAATTACGTCCTCTTTTCCCGTCGTTCCTTTCCTTTTTTTCAACGCGTCTACACGGCCTGAATCAGATAAGTCCGGCGGCGTGTCAATGTCTCTCGGCTACCAACGGTTTGCATAATACAGACCGAGTGTATAACGTCGCGTCGGTGTGTCACGTTCCGGCTAATTTCGGCGAATTCAGAATCGCCCGCGAGGCGGTTAACGCAATGGAAAATTTAACTCCGTTACGGTGTCTCTCCTTTTTTTTTTTCGTCGCGGTCAATTTAATGCCATCCGCGGCTGCGTCGGTCGGGGGACGGGATTTTCGAAGGTCCGAAACAAAGTCCCCCTCGCACTCTACACCTCGATCGTTCTTTTTCGACGGACGGCGGACCACACACGAGGCTCGATGCTTTCCCCGAGAGTTGACGGCAAAAAGCCGGTTGAAACGGCGCGTGTAGGCCGCGGACAGACGTAACTCGGGCTAAACCGCGTCGGGAATGATAAAAAAGTGAAGGGGGATCGGTGACGGGGCCGTGTTATCGCGGTGTCTCGCGGCGACGATAATAATTTCCGACGGTAATGCCTCGGCCCCGTGAACGTCTCCCGTTAACACCGGGAAATATGAAACGCCGCAGATTGATCAGATACGATACGAATTGATTGCGTGAATACATTCGCTGAAACAGGTATCGATCGTTTATATTGTTTTTCTTCGATTCAAGCCACTTTTATTTCGAATAAACGTGTCCTCCTTACTTGTATAATAATTTTCTCATTAGAATAAACGCATTCAATTTTCATTTTTCGATCTCACCCCGGTTTGATATTGAATCTGAAATCAGATAACGAGACGCGATATTTATAATACTGTCCATTTCGAGGTTTGTGAAAAATCAAGATAGCTTCACGTGTTTCTGAACTGCTGGATTACACTATTAACCAGAGGCGGAGGAATATAATCTGAATCTTAACAAGGAGCACGTTTTATTACTATGTTCCGTATGATTGACAGAAATGTTTCGCAACACCTCGCGTGCATAAATTATTCATATCGATTCGAGGGGAATTCTTATATCGAGCGCGTAACATACGACATTCCATGTTCATTAATACAAACGCATTTTGTCCGTATCGTAAACTCCTTGTCAGTTTAATGTTCTCAGCATATACATTTGCATACGCGTTCCAGAGGCGTCATAAACCGAGCGCGTCTTACTGTCAGCGTACACGCCTGTGTGTGACAGTCCATATCAATTAGCCGTTAATACCAAGCGGTATCAATTAACATTCGACTCTGGCAAGCGTGGACGACACTGGATTTTACAAGATAACTCAGAGTCGCGTCCTAATGCCTCGATCAACGTCGTAAAACAGTCCTACGCTTCTATTATTCCATCGCGTCGCGGAATTGCAGGTTGCGTCGTGCGTCTCCTCCTTCCTCGTTGTTGCAACGACGGGGAAACCAGTCCGAGGTGGTTGTTAGGGATAAAGAGGCGGTTGCCAACGGTCGAGCTGTAAATCTCGCGGAACCAGGCTCGGGACACGTTGTTGCAACGACGCTGCCCTCGAGTACGACCGCCCCGCGTTATCATTCCTGCTTTGATGGCCGGTAAGCACGATTATTAGCGCGGCACCTCGTCGGCGCGCGATATCGCGTCGTAACGATAGGGGCGAACGCGAAAAAATCGGGTGGCACGCATTAATTTGGCGGTCCCGTTGCAAATTACACGCGGCACCGCGTTACATGGTAAACACTACGTGGCAAGCGAAACGAGACGGGCGATCAGGTGAAACGAGTTTAGATAAGAAGGACTCGGTTCAATCCCGTCGAAGATACCGCGTCGTCAGATGCGATGGAAGCGTCATTCTTGTTTCTGTCCCATTGAGCCAACGATCGTAATTTGTCAAGTGGAGTTAGTGGCTCGGTGGAAAGCTGTCGGGCCGGGTTCTTCCGGATAAATTGCCTGAAGATTCAATGACGATTGATTATGTACTGATTACAAGAATATGTGACAACAGTATTTAGTTAAACGGTACGGTAAAAACTAAGGGTCTCTTAAATGAAGGGGTATTCAGTAGGAATTAATTGCAAATGAATTTAAGGTTCGTCTGACCATAAGTAGAGTAAAATATAAGCGTTTAAGTGGTAGGGATTAGGATTTGTACGAGCAGGAATATCAGAGTTAGAAGTTTAGGATGACGTGTTGAAGACAAGGTTCAAACATAATGCAACTGGAACAGAGTTTGAAGACAGGACAAAGTTTGCAGATAAGAGTGAAGAAGTGAAGATACAGAATGATGAAATTTCGGTATAGAAAATAGAAGACAAGGAATCTATATCTAACATAATTACTAAATAACGTTGCCATATAACAACGTTTACAAATATTAATGTTAAACTTGACAAAAGATTTCGCTTATACCAGTTTACCTAAATTGTGTATTAAAATGAACGAAATTAAAGCGAGGGGAGCTCTAAAGGCTAATCCCATCCATTCAAAATTCTGCAAAGATTGCAAACTTCCCAGCTTGTTTTCCGTTTATGAAAGAAACCGAATTATCCGTATCGCGGAGGGGACGTCGTTGGCTATTTCCCTGGCGACAATTAAGGATAACGCGGATACCGTCGGGTACACGTTGTTAAAACACGCCTCCAAATATTCCGGTAATGAAGAATAATGCGCGACGCTAAAACAAACTCTCGACGAGGACGGTTAAACCTCGAAGACGTTTGGGTGTCCTCTTCGTCCCGTCGTCGACGTCGTCGGCCTCGCACCTTCCCAAAGGATATACCAACACGGACATGCCGGCCAAGAGAAGCTTCGCTCTTAGCCAAGCATTTAAACGGTCCACGCAATTAGGGAAGGCGCTTCGCGCCTCATCTTTTATTCATGCCGACTACAGCCCGGCCCTCTCTCCGCGCCTCGCTTTCGACCCCCAAAGATTAAAACTGAAGCACGCCGATGCCGGCTCCCGGCGGCGCGGTGGCTGCCTGGCTGGACATATTAAATGGCCGGCTCGCACCTCCGATCACTCGCCTGTACACACGCCGCGTATCACTTTCTTCTTGCTCTTCTTTCAACTGTCACGTTTCCTTACCTCCGTATTGACGCTTAACGAGCAGACATTCGTATGCAAAATAAAATATTTAGCACATCAGCTTAAGTTACCTGAATATCCCTAAATGCGAATACATTTGTTTTAGTCCTTCGATCACATTTCTCTTTATAAGGATATTTTCTCCAGATCAATTTCGAACACCATATATGTTATTCCTAGACCGTCGATTTTTATGCGATTATAGATAGAAAATAAACCTCTTTTATATAATCTCGAAAAATACATAAAAAATTTGATGTAAGTTTTATATTAGGAAGTAATACAAATGGAAAATCTGTGTAAATGGATTATATTCCTTAAAATGTGTTTCAGAAAATATGACTTTACATAAAAATCCGCAGTTTGATTATTACCCACAAATCTGTATAGAAATAAATAAATGACTGAATGAAACATGAGACCCTATTATCATTTTTCATATTCAATATTTCCTTGTATATATGTACAATTTCCATGAGAATACATCAGATCTGCAGTGAAGTAATGAGGATTTAGCGTGTCATTAATCATTCCAATATTTATATAATTTATTTTTTACACTTTTTCAAATGTGTTATTTTTAATGAGTATAAAGAGGGCGAAACGAGGGAAAACGTGAAACCCGTGAGTTGTGAAAGTTCGCGTGGCTCCCAAGGGTGGGAAAGTTTCGCGAGGGCGCGAAGATTTTACGGTTTTATGATTATTCTACACGTTTTTAATTTTAAATGAGCCGCCTCGCCGCCCGCCGGGCTGTTTGTTTTTTAATGACGATTGAAATTGCTTCGCCCCGGGCTGAGGAAAACGAGCTCCCCGGGAATTTAAAAATCCCGAAACAGTGGAATTTTTTCTGGCAAGGAACTTCCAAGCCTGGATCACGCCAGTTGCTTTATTTTATGGATGGAATGAATATGAAATGTTTGTTCGCAATTCTTTTCAATCGAACGTGAATCGAAATCAGGGAACAACAAATCCACTTTGAGAAGCATTGAAAGATGCTGAAATTTGTAATTTCGATAATGAAGGTATTAAAAGTTGAAGATGAATGAGTTCCGTATTCGTTGCGATATCGGAATTTAGTTGGAAAATCTTGAACGGAAAACGAGAACAAAGAAGGATATCTTCGGCCTTAATTAATCAGTTATGCCTCGAGGGGAACATCGAAAGGCCGGGTGAAGAATTGCCGAACGTTCGAAGAGGAATACGTCAAAGTTCGCGGAATCTTTCAAGAATGTTGTATCCGATTATTCGTTACTCCGATACGCAGAAACTTCTTGCGAACGTGCCTGGAATCGCAACTCCCACTGTTACCTATCCCTTAGACTTTCTCAACAGTTTTTCGTTTACTGAAGACTTGAGGATTTCGTTAAACGCAATCTTCCAGAAAAAATCTTAACGTTCGCCGAGATGAAAGCGACAATTACGTAGGATCTTTAGTATAACTTTCGTTAATAAAAAATGAAACATAGCGAGTAGGGAAATGAGTCAGGATTCAGTTTTAGCATCAGTTAATATTATAGTAATAGCATTTTATTAGTTATACATTAAAGAAGTATAAATGTTATATGTACTTCATAAGATGTATATATTAGAAAAGTCACGTGACTACCCTAGCCCCTTAATTATCGTCCGACTTTGAAATTGAACGAGTTCGTTTTTTTGTTTCAGATTAAAAGTGGAGAATCTCGGTGGCGCGTGGTGCCCCAAGAATCAGATCAACCAGGAGGCGCGAGAATGGTTGCAGATCGACCTTCATTCAGTTCATTTGATCACGGCTACCGCCAGCCAAGGTCGTTTCGGGAACGGTCTCGGCGTTGAGTACGCGGAAGAGTATCTGCTCGAGTACTGGCGACCGCATCTGGGCAAGTGGGTTCGATATAAAAAGGTGAGTCTCCCCTTATACCTCGGCGAGCCCATTAACTGATTTGCTGACGCGTGGCCTGACCGTCTAGTTTCAGTCTGTCCCGTTAAATCGAATCCAAGCTTGGGTCAAAAGTTTATTTACAAATCGTTGCACCATTAATGAAAATTATATTAAATCTAAAAGCTTGCTTAAAATATGCTGTATAAATAACATTTATTGGTTACAGTCAATTTTAATTATCTGTAGGATATCTTGGAGAGAAATTCGTAACCAGAATCACTTTAGTCATTAAATTCTTTTATTCAATCAGCCGTCAAGGGTAATATAATTTACAAAGGCTATGAAATTTAATCTCGCAATGACAAAAGAGGTCATAATTAGTGGGATCTCTTACAGATTTCCGGATTAAAAGATCCGGAAAAGAATTTAAGAAGAATTTATTGAATGGTCAAGAATTTCTTGTCAAGATGTCCTACGGATAATTAAAATTGATTTTGACGAATCACTATTAGTTATACTTCAGATTTTAGACAAGTTAGGTGGCTATATTTATCGTTAAAAGCGTTAATCTCGCGAGATATCTTGTTTAGTTGTACAAAGGGGATAAATTGCTCGGACACGTGTCTGTAAACTTTGAAATCCGAGCATCAAACGGCATTTATACAACGTTTCATGAATTATGTCCTTGATCTGGTTGATCAGGCTAAATATATCGGCGATCATTGGCGTTACAAGTAACGTTTCGCAGAAGGCGGGGGTCGCGATCAAAAGTGCACTGGCTGCCGCGGGATTGATTAAAAAACAGCTCGAGATATCGTGATTTATGGACGATCCGTGCATCTGCTCTCGCTGTACGATCGGCAGCTGCGCCGGGAATACTCGAAACCGAATCACGGCCTGGTCATTGGCCTGAAATAATAATTCCGCGCCGATTAAAGCGGCCGGATTGTTATTCCTGGTGATGCTCTCGAGGCGTAAAGATTTCAACCCGCTCGGCCGGCCGGCGCGCGACCGCCGGTAGCTCAAAGCGCCCGGCCGACGATCAAGAATCGAAGACCAGCCTGGAGGATTATCCCGCTTGAAACGTAAGCCGCTTATCGCGAATCCGTAAGCTAATTTCGTACCGGCGATGCGCCACTTTGTCGAGCTACTCCAGCTACGAAGCCCGAGCCTTGCGGTCTTTGTGTTCCCGAGTTTCGCGAATAGCTCTTGCATTATACAGACCTCCAGTAGTCCGGATCCTCGCCATTACGTTTCTTTCCACGATTTTTCAACCCCGCCCTCGAAATAAATCGGGTCCGCGGTAGGAAAAGCTCGCCAATTTTCCAGTTTAATTGGACACGAATTCTGGTTCATACAATTGGAAAATAGCAGTATTGGACCTACACAATATTTTTCTTATCATGCGAGAAGTTATTCTACTGCTTTCGTAATTCAATAAACGTTTTGAATTCTATATTGAATAGATCATTAATTTAAGTAAACGTTAAGAGGCGTACAAGATTATGCTGACGTAAACTGATAGAGCTCCTGTCATTGTGTGAATAAACTTGGAGATGAATCAAGCTCGACTTGAGAAACTTGTAGAATTAAGAGCACTCAAAGGCAAGGGTACAGAATGTACCAAGGCAATTTCAGCAAGTACCGGTTTAAGGCATGGAAGCGACGCGCGGTGCGCTGGTAATAAGAGGCTCGTAAGGAGCCAAGGGCGACGCGAAACATTTTTGCGGAATTGTCCTTAACATCCAGTGTCAGTGTTTACGGACCTCGACCACGCGGCTATTACGACACTTTAAACGCGGTACGTCCCTCCGGGCGCGATTTTGACGTGACGTATGACGGTCATTAATGGCCCTTGCACCGTTTTACGGCGCTGCCAACAGCGTCCTGAAAAGAAATAAGCAGGCAAATTGGTCGGAGGCGATCGAGCGTCCCCGTATCTCGAGCCACAGTACCGGGATCTTATTAATATTGATGGACCGAGCGAGGATTAACGCGTCAGGGGACTGCGGTCTCGTCTGCGAGCCTCGGTGGCCAGCGTCGCGTGTTCCGCTTCGTGATTTCGTGTAAAGTCTAATTTCGACACCGATACCCTCGATCAGAGCACGCTTCAACCGGTGGAAATTAGCGGTTGGCTGGAACCATGTTCCTGTTTGCAAGCTGGTTAATTTTCTAACAATTAGTTTCCGATGAAATAGGGACAATAGTTCGCTGAATGCAGTACTTGTTAGTAAATGGCTACTCTTAGGATTTTCACATAAATGTTCGTTTCTCCAAAATTGCTTATTATACAAGTTCGTTGAGAAGAAGTAGTTTACTTAAAATTACGAAAATCACAGGTTTGCACGATCATTGGTCTACAACTGAGATAAAAAACAATATATGTTTGGATGTGCCTAACTTTTTTATACTTTCATCGTTCATTTGTATGATTGAAATTTTGTACATGCAGACAACTTAGTTACAGCTACAAAAAGCATGATTCAAACTTTTATTGGGTACCCTCGTAAAAAAGTTAAAAACCGTGATATTTATTTTTTTTCCAGGCTTGCAATTAACGATTAAGTCTTCAAGAGGCTCGTTACTTAATTTTTTTAACACTTGTCGGTAATATTTTGAAATTTTCATCTCTTTTATTAATAACCCGGCAGAAACAGTGCAAATACGGACTTATAGAAATAATTTTCTCATCGGCTCGTCAAGGACTTCGTTCTCGAGAAGTTAATCGTTAATCGTGTAATTAAAAAATCTGCAAGCCCGCTGTTTCTTTCACAATTCCAACCAATAAAAATGGTCAACTTTTGTACACATTATATAGTAAACTCGGTCTTCTATCATCCTACAATCATCTAACAATGTTGTTTGGTCCAATAGTAAATGATTGAAATGATATTAGGTCCTTAAAAAATGTTAAATACTTCCGTGAGCCACTATAATTTTATGTTCTCTATACACACGATGAAATTCCTGTTTAAGATTTCTATGTTAAAGTTTATTTCTTGAAAGTTGCTAGCTGTACTGGTTTGCTAAGGGGCGTGTAGCCGTTCATCAAACCTATCAACAGTCTGAATTTCCAAGAAAATCTTGAAAGTGGTATATTGAATTACTCGCCGGCAGATATCGTCATTAAATGCAAATCCCCGGCTACTAGGCGTCACAGGATTAATCATCCCATCGTCGTGAAAGTTTCACGGGTTAAAAAAATTCCAGTCTCGCAGCCAGAATGCAAAATAAAACTGTAAATTTCCCCGAAGGCCGCTGACCATCCCCCCCCCTCTCTCTCTCTCTCTCTCTCTGGTAAATCGGTTATCCGATCGTCCGTCTCTATATCTACATCCGCTGTCCAGTTACTGCCTTATTAATATTGATGGACCACTTGCGCCGGCGCTAATGCGGCAACGGCACCAGACTGCAGAAGTTCGCTCCTCCGCGAAGACTCTTTCACCGTCACGCGTTCCACCTTATGATTTCATGCAAAGACCAACTTCCATCTTCTCTGCCTCATGATTATTCACTAATTCGGGACGAAGCTGTCCCAATTATCGGATACCCGCTCAGAGCCGATCGTCGGAGCTCGTTTATCCCCGCTGCTTGTAAATTGAACAATTACAACCGGTTGAACATCTGAAAATCGAACAACGTGCCTGATAATTATAATTGAAGTCTTTACCGTCAGCGAGTTATGAAAATAGAAAAGCCTGCACAAAAATAATAAACTCTATTGCATAATGTGAATATACATCGTTTACGAGATTAAATATTTATCTTTCCAAGGAATGGAGTGAAAAAATTCGCTGCGGCGGCGTCTCATTAATCTGTGAGAGGTTGCGAAATGTTCGAAGCTAATTACGGCAGGGAATCTTCACTGAGACCAGAATCTGCGGTTGCGTTTTGAGACTTTCAGTGAAAGCGGACGAAAAGATTCCTTAATTACAACCCTTCCACGAAAGTCGCATTTCTTTGTCTTTTTTTTTTTAGGGTCGCTTACACGCGTGTATGGCCGACGTTCTAGAATATCTCGAATATTCCGCGGAATTATCCGCGGCAGGGAGTGAAAAGAGTGTTCTCGAATGTTGGCACCGGGAACCTTAAGTTTTCAGCGCACGCGAGAGTTTGCGTGCACACGCGCGCAGCTCGCAAGAAGAAGGCAGGAACGTACGTCGGTACCTGTTTGTGTATGCGGCCGCGCAAGTTGTACCCGCGTAATAATAATTGTCACGGGGCCAAAGACGGCAACGGCGCGGCTTCAAAAGACCGCCGGGGGTAATTAAGGCTCGAGGCGCCAACAAGCTTCGCCTTTCTGCGCGCTTCCCTGCAAATGCGCGAGCACGTTCGCGTTCCGGGACAAGGAGGCCTGCTTTTCTTCGCTGCCACGGCTCGATAACGAACGCGTCGGATTCAGGCCACACGATTAACCAAACGCTATTTTCCAAATCGTAAATTAAATACATTTTACGGGTTCTACTTTCCTGTTTCTAATTATTCTTGGAAGAGTAAAGAAATGTATAGACGTGATCGTCTGCGAATACTAACGATTTCCTTACAACAAGATGAGAGTAACATAAGGAACAGGATAAAGAGAACGAAAGAGCAACCGTTCTCACAGTCAGTTGTTGAATTTACGATACACTATTCCACTCGTTCTCATTTTATGAGTGACTGCCGTTTCCTGTTTCCAAAAACAACAACAACGTTAAGTAAGAGGAAGAGGAATTATTGAGAAGCAAGCAAGGCGCCGATGCTCCTACACGAAGCTCTGAGATCGTTCCGCTTTCCTGTTCTTCCTTCACGATAGTTTTTAATGAGCACTGACGTCCCTCCCGTCCCATTTTCCGTCCTCCTCTGTTTTCGCGTCCGCTTCGTTATTTTATTTAGCCCGTCGTAAGCCGTTAAAGCGAGACTGCATCTTTTAATAACCGAGCAGTGTGGGAAAGTTACAAAAAAAATGCCACCTGAATACGCAAAACGGTGTGGCGGGTAGATACGCGCGATACGGGCAAACGCCGGGCGGATTTTCATAG